ACCATAAAGGACTAAAAATGTGTGTGTTTCTTTAGATATATGCTTATAACTTTATGAGAGGCTAATTTCTATACTGATTTCAAGATTTGTTTTAGTTATTTTTCTCAAGGTTGATGATATTATTTGTTCTGGTCATTTCTAATAGTTTTTTTTATGAGGGCGTGTGAAACATTTTTCTTTACTTGACCTGTATGTTTTCTTTCTTTCTCTTGATTTTTATCATGATATCGTCACATCCCATTTGATAATATAATATTAAGTTAAATTAAAAATACATAGGGTAGAGGCTCCAATTGTTGAAGACTCTATTTTGTTCTATTTTTTATTGCGGATGCTTGACTCCATGAGGGTCATTGCTATTCATCTTTCCACGCTGATTTGATCGTATCTCTGTGAATTCCTCTTCTTTCAAGCATGATTAAGGTTTTATTTTATATAAAACAATTTTTAATTGGAGACTTCAAAGAATAATAGTAGTAAATACAAACAAGTGACTGAGGAAGTTGGGCCGAATTATTGAAGAAGGTTCTATCTTGAGTACAAAACAAAAAGGTAATAATTTGAAAACTGAGACAACACATGAATCACTCGAGTGCATCAGTTTTTCTGGACAAATTTTTCTTATCGATGTGACACTTATAGCATAGAGACATATAAAAAAGGCTTCTTCTATGTATAGCTTCACCTTTCTCGTGCTGTGTGTGTGAAGATATCATTCACGCCTGGTATGCATGGGGGGGGGGGGGGCGCTTCAACTCCGTTTGCCAAATTCAAATTATTGCATTCTCTTTTTGTTCTCCAACAAAATAATATCAATTAACCATAAAATTATTGTTAATTATCGATTAACCATAAATCCCCTTTCTTGCACTATATTGATTCATTTTTCATTCTACCCATGCATATCCATATTGCCCTCATTAATTTTTCCTCTGTCTCTCATTCCCCCTATAATGCGTTTTAAACTTTTAAACATTAGCTAGCATGCATGGGTCAATCTACAACTTGTCAGTGCCACGTTTTGAATTTTACAATAACTTACATATTTGATCTTTGTTTTTGGTGACTATACATTTTGGAGTTTACTGGTCTTTAATGGCGCAGTTCAGAGGAGCCCTAATAGAAATTTCTAGTATTCCCTGTTTTCTAGTAACTCTTCCACTTGCTTGTTCAGCTGGGTTGTCCATTTGTCCCTGCCTCATTTTTCCCTCTCCTCCCGTTTTCCCATACATCTTTCCGAGACAGGACTTGTTCTCCAAATGTTCAAAAGGATTTTTATTTTTATTTTTACATTTTATATTTCTTTTGTATCTCTCATCAATTTTAATTTTTCTTTTCTTCCTTCATTCATTATATTTTTGGTTTTTCTTTACCTGTTTTACAATCACAAAGAGTGTGAAATAAATACTATTGATGTTAAAAAGAAATTGTTACATATATTTTTTATAATAACGATATTCATATATTTATATACTATTTTTGTTTTTAATTTTTTTTATCTCTTTCTTATATACCTATCAAATTTAGCTCCTCTGAAATAAATTAAATAATATATATTTATCATAAATTTAAATATTTATAAACGTCATTAACTTTAAATTGAGAATAACCAAACTCTTGCCTACATTTCACCTCATGTATATCTACTTATTGAAAATACGATGATCATTTAGACAGGTAAAGTACAAAGTAAAAACTCTTGTTTACGTGGAATCACTGAACTGTGTTGCTGTTTGGATTTTCTTAGATTGGAACCCATTGCAAGGAGGGAAGGCTTCCGCAAACACTGAATCTCTTGCGAATAACCCAAACAATGAGGGTTTACAAAGAGAGGCGAGAGCTGAACAACCACGCCACGTGGCTTGGCAGGAAGACGAACAGAGCATGCCCATTGCGAATCTGACGCGGATAATGCGGCGCGTGCTTCCACCGCATGCAAAAATATCGGAAGAGGCAAAGGAAACAATGCAAGAGTACGCGAGTTCATAAGCTCATCTCAAGCGAGGCCAACGATCAGTGCCAGAACGATCTTCGTAAAATCGTCACTGCAGAGGACATACTGTGTGCAATGGACACGCTGGGCTTCGACGACTATGTTCGACCTCTCCTCCTTTTCCTAAAGCGCTACCGTCACCACGAGGGTCACCACGTGGGGTTTAATGTTCCTGTGCGCCAAGTTGCAGCGACTTATCGTGTGCCCCCACCTTTGCCGCCACAAGCTTTAAGTTTCCCTGCTGCTGCCGATCCGAGTTTGTATTTGGGAATGTTTGGTTCGAATTGGATGGGTGGGTGGGGTGAAGATGGGTCGGGTACGGGTCGGTCTGTGACCAGTTTTTATCCTTCTAATATTCACAAACGTGAATGATAGCCTGTGGTTCAGCTAGACTTGAGAGAGAGAGAGAGAGAGAGAGAGAGAGAGAGAGAGATGGTACTGTGCATTTATGGAGTGAAGTAATCAGAGATTTTGAATAATACTGCTTGAGGTTGTGATAACTTGTGCTTCAAAACTCAAGGATATGAAAGCTTTGAATGGATGATGTGTTTTGCAATTTTAAGTATTTTTTTTAAACTTTTTATATTTAATCTCTTTAATTTTAAAATTATTTACATAATTTTTTATTTTAAAATTTAATCTAATTATTAACACATCTATAATAGAAATATAATATTTTTTATTTATATAAATTAATAAAAAAGTATATAAAATATTTAAATTTAAATAACATTTTATATTTATAGCAACTTCTTTGAATAGAATTGTTTTTAATTGTATCACTTTAGTAACATAAAATTTATACTTTTTTATAAACAACGTATGGAAACTATTCTTAAAATATAATAAGTACAATTATTAACTTTGGTTTAAAATTTAAAATAATCACCTGTTATAAATTGTTCTAATAAATTTAAAGAATAATTTTATATTTTTTTTGAATAATTTATACAAAAATAATTTTTAAAAAATTGTATGACAATATTTAATTTACATTATCTAATGTTCAAAGTACAAAATAATTACGTACTAAGGTCACATAAAATTTAACTTATATAACTAGTTTTTTGTTTTTCATTTTCAACTATATAATCTCAGTCAACGGTATACAATATTTAAAAGTTTTTTAAAAAATATTTTTGCCTTATTTCATAAAAAAAATAAAAAAATATTTTTTCCTTACTTTATTATTACTCATTATCACATAACAATCACAAGATTAATAGTATATATATGGATATACTTTTCAAGGCACATTTTATGAAATTAAATCAATTTTTCATTTACTTAAGTAAAATAAAATAAAATAAAAAATATAAAAATTGCTAAGAGGATTTTTGTTGTTTACCAAACAAAATAAAAATAAACAGTCAACACAAATGAATAATTTATTGGAATATTCAATCATACATGAATAATCAATATTAAAATATTTTTAAAATTATATAATTATTTAAAAAACTCACATAATAAGTATATCTTAATCATTATTATTTATAACAAAATTTAATAAAAAAATATTTTAACGATTATATAAACTTTTAAAAGACTCACATGATACATATTTTTATCTTAATAAATATCAGAATTTGTTCTTCTTACTCTTATTTTTACATAAAAGTGAATTTTTCATTTGATAAGCCTGGTCACCTATTCTTAGAATGAGGTCCTGTGTGTCAATATACCTCATTTATATATTTTCACCTAAATATAACACAAATCATTTTGCCTAAATGGAATTAAAATTGGAAAATAAAATTCAAAATAAATCTGGCTAATTGGGCTGTTGGATATGTTTGGGTTAGTTTTTCTGATTGGGAGTTACTTTTTAATCTTTTATTTTCTTTTTACACGTCATAAATTAATTTTTTCAAAATATCCTTTAAAATAGTAAAAACAAAAATTGGTTATTTTTTATTTGAAAATTTAATTTAAATTTTAAAAGTATGTTTAAAATTAGCTGTTAAAAATCAAAATTTGGAAGCTTGTATAAAAAATGCTTGTAGAAACTTAATTAGGAATATATACGGGTAAGAAAGTTTTATTTTGAAAGTGTAGAATATTAATTTTAAAAATTATTTTTAGAAATATAAAACTTAATTTAAAAAATTTATTTTTAAAAATGTAAATTTCTATTTCCAAAATTTATTGATTAAAATAGTTAATAATAAAAAAAATAGAATCTTAATCGCGGAATCTTATTTTTAAAAATAGTTAATAATTTCATAGATTACTTTTTGGAAGTGTAAAATTTTAATTCTGAAAACTTATTTTTAGAAGTATAACGTCTTAACTCTGAAAATTTATTTTTGGCAAATATTAATAATTTCATAAATTAATTTTTAAAAGTTTAAAGATTTAATTTCATAAATAATTTTTAAAAAATATAAAATCTAAATTTTAAAATATGAAAGTGTTGGTGTGGAAAAGTAAACATAGGTCAACAAATACATTATTTTTAATAATAAATTAAACTTTCTATAATTCATTCAATACAATAAACGTATACGGAGACCAATAATACTTAAACTATGGAAGAAAGAGATGGTAATTAAAGAATATCAAAAAGTAAGGAGAAAGAATCATAAAAAGTGAAATTAAAAAAATATATTCCAAAACCTAAAACAAAGTAGAAAAGTTTGAAAATTATTTGATTTTAAAAAATGTTTTTTATTTTTATTTTCTGTTTAGTAATTTAAACTGTTGTAAGAATATTTTTTTTAAAAATAAAATATATATAATGTAAAAGAAAAATACAAAAAGCAAACCCCTTTAGATTTTAAGCATCACGGGCCACAGTATAGGAAAATATCCAACCTACTCTTTCAATGTACATAATAAAAATAAACAAATAAAGGAAGCAGCTCCTAATATATATTCCACGCAAAAGAAACAGCTACATAGATAGATAAATGAAAATTTTGATATTAAGATAAAGCATAATGTTGAGTCAGCCCGGTACTGGTAGACTTGGATAAGGACGACTCAGAGAGGAAAAAACTACACAATGGGTAGCGTAACAGAGGAACAACTGGTTCAAATGGTAAGGGACTTCATTGAAGCTGAATCATCAGAGCAAGTGCCAACTTCAGATAACTCCCTCTCATATCAAAATCACAATCCCACGTGCCTCCTCACTTTGCAGGTTTTCTACAAATCTCCTTAATTTTATTTATTTATTTATATTTTTCTGGTTGACTAGCTAGTGATCCTTATCATCATCATCATTTCTTAATCTATCCGCCACATGATGATCTTTATTTGATTTTTCTCAATTGATCTTCGGGGCTTAGTTCTTTTTTTATTGTATATGCAGCAAATACTGAGGGAGACCACAGATATTGAAGTTGAGGTTCTTCAAAAGATATTGAAGCATCTTAAAAGCGTAGAGTTTGCTAATGACCCTACCAATTTGAAGAAGTTGATAGTGGTGAAACTGAAAATGGATGGCTACGAAGCTTCACTTTGTAAAACATCATGGGATTTCACTTTTGATCGCTGTAACTGTTCCCTTGGTCAATGTTTTGTTCTTGGTTAATAATTTCTAGTACTAAGCCATTTTCAGTCTTTTGATTAGATTATGTCTTTTTTCTTTTTATTTTTTTTTCCATTTGTAGCGTTTCAATTTTCAGGTGATTATGAATACGTTGATGTGATGGTAGGGGAGAAGGGTGGTGTGATAGAAAGAAGGCTAATGGTGGATATTGACTTTAAGTCTCAGTTTGAGTTGGCAAAACCAACGAGAGAGTACAAAGAGCTAAGGGACACTCTTCCTTGTGTGTTTGTTGGGACTGAAGAAAAACTTGCCAAGTTAAATTCTTTGCTTTGTTCAGCTGCAAAAGAATCATTGAAAGAAAAAGGCTTTCATATTCCTCCTTGGAGAAAAGTCACTTACATGCAATCCAAGTGGCTTTCCAAAAACTGCGAGAAGAAATATCCTTCATATATGTCCAACGTAGACTTAGAGTCAACACAAATGAATATTTAGTTTCGAAATTACCGTGTGGGCTCTTTCAACCCTTCTAGTTTTAGGCCGTTTTGACAAAGAATCAATTTCCACTTAAGTAAATATTTATATATATTGTGAAATGTGTGCTTTAATTTATTTGTGATTTTAGTTTTGTAACGAGGGGCATTAAACAACTGTACATGGATTTGCGGGCGGAGAGGGCTTATTTATTTTTTTAATATTTTTTAAAAATAAATTCTTAAAATAATATTTTTTAAAAATATATTTTTTGTCTGGGTCTTTTTTGTCACGCCAGTAGTTGTTTCGTTCACTGTATGAGAAAAATATATATATATTTTTAATTTTTTTAAATATCATTTTATCTTTAACAGAGACGAAATTATCAGATTACCTATGTTTCATCATTTGGTGAGTTATGTTTGCTTATAGAATTGTACTATGTGTCATGCCTGGATCAATTTATGAAATTGGTTAAAAAAATTTTATATTTTAATATTTAATTAAAATTTATTAAAAATAAAAAATTATAATATTTAAGAATAAAAAATTATATAATTTTTAATTAACTTGATTAACAACTATAAATATATTAAAAATGTATATTGAGATGATGTGTATACTGTATGATACTAAAGAGAAGACTTACTAACAAAATTATAAATTTATAAGTAATTGTCGTTTTAAAGTGTGTCATTTTTTTTTCAAATTAATTTCGTAAGTTAAGTGAGATATGACAAAATTTTAATAATTTATATAATAAATGTGTATTTTTTATAATTTTTTTTATAGATATTCTTTTCTTAAATTAAATATGTCTATAATTATATCAATAGGGTTGATTTATTATTTTAATATTTTTAAAAAAATAAATTAATAAATTCTTAAAATAGTATTTTTTAAAAATATTTTTTGTTTGAAGTCTTTTTTTCACGTTAATAGCTGTTTCATCCACTGTCTCGACAAAATATATTTAATTAAAAAATTAATATTTAATTAAAATATATTAAAAATAATAATATTTAATTTAAGAATAAATTATTAAAATTTACTAATTTTTAATTAAATTAATTAATAATTACAAATATATTAAAAAAAGATATAGTGTTAAGATTTTATTAACTTTAGTTTTAATATCTATAAAAAAATTATAAAAAATACATATTTATTATATTAATTATTAAGATTTTGTCATATCATATCTAACTTACGAAACTAGTTTGAAAAAAAATGTTACTCACACTTTAAAACGATAATTCTCATAGAATTCTTGCATGTATTTAAGACGAAATACCGCGTACGAGACGTTTTTTGCTATTGTTTCGTATTGGATCTTCATTTTGAGGTAAGGGGACCTTACTCTATCTCATTATGTTTGAAATCCGTTATTTTGCTATGTGTTGTAATGTAAATGATTGAAATATAGGAAGATGTATGTTTTAACGGAGTTGATTTGATTGTAGTGAGATTGCGATAGAAAGGTTGTGTAAAATATAGTGTGATAGATGTTAAATAGTGTGTATGATGGAATGAATTGATTGGTATGGGTTGCGATGAAAAATATTGTGTATTCGAGTACAATGTGATTGATATTGAGTATGATGTGTGATGAAATGGTTGATTCTAATGCGGTTGAAATGTGTAGACGTGCCATTGATTGATGTCGAATAATGTGAAATGGGTGAATATGTGTGAATGACATGTTTGGTTGTGTTTGAAATGTTGAAAAATTGTGAAAGGTTCAGCGATACATTGGGAGTGTGGAAGATGGGGGCGGTAGAAATATCGTGGGAAAGAGAGGGTGGTGGTGACACCAACAGTGAGCGTGGATGCACCATAGGCCACACATTCTCCTCCTGACTTAGCCTCTAACTAACACCTTTGCTTGGGGAGGTCAATACCGCACACGTTGTATCTGTGGAGCGGGAGCTATCAAGTGACCATCCATGGTGTGAATCCCTAAGGTTGAAGGCATTAAGAATTTGTGTAGCTAACGTGAAGTGAGCACACGTAGGTGTTTTATATGAATTGTTTGATGGTGTAGTGAGCGCACCTGTATGTAGATGAGTTTGGAATGATGAGATTATTACCTTGTACTTGTTTATGCATGATTTAAATTATGTTAGAAAATATGTGGAGTGAGCAAAGTGAGACTCTATACTTGTCATGTGTGTGTGAAAGTATATAGTACTCATCCTTACATTTATTTTTCAGGTAACCAAGATGATCAGCATCGGGCTCAGTGAAGGAATGGATGAAACTACTATAGGGCTTAGAAAGTTATTTTTTTGAAAACTCTAATGTAATTGATCTAGTCCTGTAGCAATGATTCAATATAAATTGTAATCCATCCTTATTTTGAATTATTTCATTGAACTATGTATTAGGAACCATTGAATGAAATTTTTTATTATTTTCAATTTTATGAAATTTATTTATTTAAAAATTAAATTAAGGTATTACAATTTTGGTATTAGAGCAGTTCATCCAAACCAGACTGGGGTATTGGAGCTCAAGTGTCCAAAGCTGTGTGTTGATATGTTTTGTTTACTTGAATTAAAAATGTTGTTATTGATCGGATGGGTTAAAGTGTGGTTTGTTGAATTGTTTGCTAGCTTAGATTAAAAATGACCGGTAGAGGTAGAGTAGCTGAAGTCACCAATGACCTCCTAGAGCGAATGACCCAAGTTCTGGAGGCCTTAGTGCACAACCAAGATGGAGAGCCAGCTAAGTATAGAGGGTTATCTGCCTTCACTAGGCATAATCCTCCAAAGTTTGAAGGCAAGTTTGACCTAAAGGAGCCCAGAGGTGGGTGGCTGATGTGGAGAAGATCTTCCATGCAATGGTGTGCATGGAAGAGCATAAGGTGACCTATGCCACATACATGTTATGTGGGGAGGTAGAGGATTGATGGAGTTGCTAGTCAGACTTTGCCATATGAGGATGACTATATTAAGTGGGAGACATTCAAGGCAAGTTTACTAGGGAATTACTTTCCCCGGAATTTGAAGAAGCAGAAGGCTCGGGAGTTTCTTGAGCTAAAACAAGGAAATATGACAGTGGAGGAGTATGCAGCAACGTTCCAAGAGTTGATGAAGTACTGGCCTCACTACCAACATGAGGATGGAGAGGAAGACCTGTGTGCTCAGTTTAAGCATGGGTTGAGGCCAGAGATCCGAGCTGACTAACTTGCTAACTCTGGTGAGCAAGTGTCGGATATTTGAAGCCAATTCCAAGGGCAAGACTGTGGACACCAGGGGAAGTGGTCAAATAAGGCAAGACAAAAGACCCTCTAGGTTCTCTAAGGGGCTGTATTCGAGCTCCAACAATTCTCAGTCTAGAGGGACTTCATCTCAGGAGAGAAGTAGTCGGAGCAGCTCAGGTTCAAGCTCTTTCAGAGGACCGATTAAGTGCTTCAGGTGTGGAGGACCACATATGCTGAGAGATTGCCCATAGCCATAGATCAACTGTATTAACTGTGGAAAGTTGGGGCATGATGAATTCATATTTTTACTAATATTTTAGCATATTTCTAACCTATTTGATAAGAAAAATACATGAGAAAAGCAGAAAAACTCAGAAAAATAGAATGATTAAAAGTTTTATTTCAATTTGTAGTTATTTTAACATTGGTGAGATTTTTTGATTAGAAATTAAGAATTTAATTTTGTTTTGAAGGAATAATCTGAGCAAGGTTCATGGAAATGAAAAATCAATGGAAAGGAAGAAGAAGAGTAGCAATTCTGGACTCAAAGCACAAGAATTATGGAATGCAAACTGGGCGTGATCACTATTGTTAGTGAAAGTCATTACTCCAGACATCAAAGAGGAATAAACACTAGGCGTGATCACTATTGCCAGTAAAAGTGATCGTTCCAGAGCTTAAAAGAAGAAGGGAGTCTAGGCGTGTCATTCTTACGAGCGAAAGTGAGTGTTCTAGAGAGTTACTCAGAAGAACAAGCTCTGCGTTAAAACTCTTACAGGTGAAAATGAGTATTCCAGAAAAGGTAAAATTTTAGCAAGCTCTGCGTTAACACTTTTGCTGGCGAAAGTGAGTGTTCCAAAGAAGGAAAAATTTCAGCGAGCTCTGCGTTATCACTCTTGCCAGCGAAAATGGATGTTCCAGAGAGGAGTGAATCAAGGTAAGTTGTGCGTGATCACTCTTAGTCTCGAAAGTGATCACGCGCAACCACTCGACCTCTTGCATTGCAACTCTTAGCAGCGAAAGTGATAGTTCTAGTTTCCAGAAACTACATGAGCTTCTGCGTGGCCACTCTTATCAGCAAGAGTGATAACGCACAGAATCGAGATTTCTATAAATACCTGTTTTAAGCTCCGAACTCGGGGTCTTTTGTTCATTTTCCATTTTTTCTGTTAGATTCTCGTTGGGAGAGAGTGAGAGAGAGGATTGGGGTTGAACCTCGAAGCTTCAAGAAGAGGTATTGGATTGAAGCTCGTGGCTATGGCTTTTTTGAGTTTCTTCTCTTCTTCTCCTTCTTTCTCTTTCCCTGTTACAATGTCTGCTTAATTCTTCGTAGTTAGGAGTTTATGGAACTTGAATTGATGTATTGATTCGACGTTTGCTTCTGAAATTTGAGTTCTTGGATTAATTGAATTGTTAATTCTGCTGTTATTGCACTCTGTGAATGGAAATTTGTATGGTTAATTGATGAATCCACATTTTACTAAATTTTTATACATCATTTATTACTTTTTATAGAAAACAATAGACTTAGATAGTGTAAATAAGATGAATATTCCAATTAGGCTAAATAATATAGGTTTCTTAGTTTTTGGTTAATTTACATTGATTTATATAGTTTATTTTACATGTTTTGATCATTTGAATAATGTGGTAGGAATCCTTAAGCTTATTTTGAAGAATTATTGGATTTTGAGGAATTTGAGGTGAAAGTAACTACTTTCAAGATTGATAGTGACAACTACAGCAAGCCACTTCTAGCAAAGGGACCAAAGTGATCACTTTCAAAGCTTAAAGTGATAACTACAACAGCCCAGAATCCACTAAACCTACGCGTGGTTACTATGAAAGTCCATAGTAATCACTCTAGAGCATGCAGAATTAAAGGTGCTACGTGTAGTTACTATCAAAGTTCATAGTGACAACTCCAGACAGTCCAAAATATCCCACTACTGCGTGTGGTTACTATGAACTTTCATAGTAATCACTCCAGAAAGGCAAAACCCAACTGATACTGCGCGTGTTTACTATGAAAGAATGAAATTAATTACTTTGGAGGGCGCCAGCTTTAGTATAAATAGATTTTTACCAAATTAGGGTAGAGAGTTCTTACACTTTTTGAACCTTTTATCTTCTTTACTAAATTTAGGACATTTTCCAGAGCTTAGGGCAACCTTGGGTGACAGCCAAGGGTCCAACCGAGGGTTTGGTTTCTCATTTTCTCTTGCTTTTACATTAATGTTCATGAGTTTTCTACATTTCCCAACTACGTTTTTGACCCCCATTTCCATGGAGGGATAAATTTTGTGTAATCCTTAGTAAGTTCACACGGATTCTTGAGTTCCTTGATTTTAATGATAATATAATTTCTTTCTTCTCATGAATTACTTCTTCCTTGTCTCTTGAATTGAATTAATGGTGAATGAGGGGGATATTGCTTAATTAACCCTAAGTTGTTTTAAGGAGATTCTAAACTAGGGATTGCTTAATCCTAGGTTTAATTCTAAGGTTGCGTAACTTTGGGATGAGAGATTAGAGCCTAGCAAATTGCATAATTTTGTTAGGACAATAAGGTTAATTTTCGCTTGTTAAATTAACCTAATTCATGGGAGAGAGGATGAATGTTAAATCTTGAGTGGAATAAGGATAGAATCTTTGTGGATGAACTAAGGATTGCTGTTTTCTATTGTTTGAATTAATTAAACTTGTTTGCTCGTTGCTCTTTATTTTGATTTGAAACCATGAAACCCCCCATTTTAATTGTTTGTTCAATTAATGCCTTCAACATGTTTAATGAAGATTAATAGCCAATGTTCATGGGAGACAATCTAGGGTAACCCTAGTACTACATTAATTTGTTTAAATTTTGATGAGGATTTGCGACAAATCTTTTAAACACAACATGAGAAAGCTCGTTCATCATTAATAAAAGAGGAACATTTACCAATGAAAGTTGGATTTGCTTCTTTGATCTGAGTTAACAATAAAAATTGGGGATTTCTTAGGGATAAAGAGACCTAATACTGCAATCCTACGGTTGTAAGTCTTAATGCAACTTGAAATTGAACTTCACCTAAGGGATTAAGGGGGTTTAGTTGCTTGTTAGGGTCAATGATTTAAGGAATTAAACTTTGACTATTAATAAGAGAAACTGATTGGCAATTAACCAATTGCTTGAATGTTCAGAGGCATAATTGAATTGATATTGACATTCTTGTGAAATAAATTCCTAACCATTCTTCATTCATTTCTAATCACAACTTTCATACTCTATTTTTACTGCAAGTTTCTTATCTTTTGATTGTTCATGTTCTTGACTTTTGAATGTTACAAATCTTCCAATTTTGTATGGCTCAAATGGTTATAGGTCTGTGAAGTGATAATTGATTTCCTAATTCTCTGTGGAGACAATATTCTGATCTTAAAAATTACTCATTACTTGTTGCAATTCCTAGTGCACTTACTAGTGTTTAGAATTGTCGACAACAAGTTTTTGGCGCCGTTGCTGGGGAATTTGTATTTCAATATCATTAGTAGCAAAGAGGTAGCTAAATGGAGCATTTATTTTTGTTGTTTTGCTTCTAAGTTTTTCTGCATGATTTTCTTTTCTGCATTTAGTGTAGTTTTTTGCACTATTTTTTGCTGTTTTCTGCATTTCTCTACATAATTTCATTTTTCATTTATCTACATCATTTTCTATTGAATTCTGCATAATTCTGCAGTTGCTAGACTTGAATTTTATATGCTTTTGCTGATATCTTCTGCATAATCTTTGTTGTGCATTTCTGAATATCGAGTTGTAGTTTAATTTTGTTGCATTTTGATTTGTATATGCATGGTAAAAACAAAAATAAATTAATTCTGGTCTTTGATCCTAACATAGACATAACCTTAAGAAGATTAAGAAGAGAGGCTAGAGCAGAAAAATTCATAGGAAGTGACAGTGAATTTGAAGTTGTCTATTCTCCAGAAATTCAGAATACTCCTAGAGTAAAAAGAACATCTACACCTTTGAGACAACCAAATCCAGAAATAGGGATGGCAGAACAGAATAGGATTAGAACATTAGGGGACTATGCAATTCCTAACATGCAAGGTTTTAAATCTTCTATAATTAGGCCAACTATCCAAGCCAACCATTTTGAGATTAAACTTGCCCTATTACACTTAGTCCAACAGGATTAGTTTTCTAGTGGAAATTTTGATGACCCTAACCTACATATTTCAAACTTTTTGCAGTTATGTGATACCATAAGAATGAATGGGGTTAGTGAAGAAGCCATCAGACTGAGATTATTTCCCTTTTCCTTGAGAGACTTTCTACAATGGGATGAATACATCAATAAGAACTATGGTTGATGCTACTGCTGGAGGTTCCTTAAACACAAAATCTTTAGAAGAAGCTCAGAGAATCATTAAAATGATGGCATCTTCAATGTACCAAAATTCAAACTCAAGAAATCAAGAAAGAAACTCTGGTTATGAAGCTAAGGTTTTGGAAACCTTTCATGCATAGAACCAACTACAAAATCAAATGTTTTTAGAACAAATAGCTGCCTTGACTCAGCAAATTAGCAATCTTCAAGCAGGGAGTATGCCTATCAGTCAGCTAAATTGTGATTTTTGTGGAGGAAAACATGCCAATGGTGCATGTGAGGCATCTACAAGTGAACCACAGGAACAAGTGAATTATATGAACAATTTTCAGAGACGACAATCCTCATATCCCCCTGGATTTCAATTTTTGAATAATAAAAGTCAGCAGTATTCTAATTGGAATAATCAATATTTTGCTGCCAAGACTTCTAACTCCAATTTACATTTTTCTAATACAGGTCCAGCAACACAATAGTCTTATTTTCAGAGGAATCCATCCACTCAACCTCAAAGAACTCAAAAATTTTCCAAACCTATGAATGAAAGGTTGACTGAGATGGAGGAAACCATGCTGCAGTTTATGAAGGTGACCCAAACAAGCTTCAAAAA